CATAACACGCGCTCGGTTTAGTGGCCGGTTTCTTTCACTCCCCATAACGTCTTTGAAGCTCACCCACAGTCCAGCACGAGCCAGCACTGCACTGCCTTCCACACTGAATGATACTCCACTGTGTGGATGTACCACATGTTACTTACCTGTTCACTAGTCACGGGCATCTGTGCGGTTTCCACTTTCCGGCTGTTATGAATAATGCTGCCACATAACGTTCACAACTCCAAGTTTCTATGTGGACACATATTTTCAGTTCTCTTGAATATAATCTTAGAAATGGACTTGCCAGGTCATCTGCTGACTATGTTTAACTTTTTGAGGAATCCCTAGATTGGTTTCCACAGTGGCTGGGCCATTTATTCTAGCCATGTACAAGGGTTCCAGTTTCTGCAAGTCCTCTGTGAGGCAGAGTCTAATCCAGACTGGACAGGACTCGGATAACAGCAACGACAGCAGCATGCATGTACTGGGTGCTTCGTACACAGGGCAGCGGTGCCGGGGCTTGTGTGCAGCACCAGCCTCCTGCCAACCCTGTGACAGTGACTCTGCTGTGCAGAGAAAGCCCCAACCTCACACTTTCCAGGAAGGCTGGGGGACTGCCCTTGGGCCAAGACGGAGCCGCAGACACATCAGAAATGATGAATCGCTCAGAGAATAAAATCCAAACTAAACCCCAAGGCAAAAGGTTAACTGAGCCAAGTTTAGACCAAGGTGAAAAACAAAGTCAAAAGGCAAACGAGTAAGGGAAGAAAGCAGGGGCCGGGCACGGTGGCTCACGCCTGTAATCCTAGCACTGTGGGAGGCAGGAGGATCGACTGAGCTCAGGGGTTTGAGACCAGCCTGAGCAAGAGTGAGACCCTGTCTCTACTAAAAATAGAAAAATTAGCGGGGTGTGGTGGTGTGCATCTGTAGTCCCAGCTACTCGGGAGGCTAAGGCAGGAGGATCGCTTGAGCCCAGGAGTTGGAGGTTGCTGTGAGCTAGGCTGATGCCATGGCACTCTAGCTCAGGCAACGGAGTGAGACTCTGTTGTCCCCAGAAAAAGAAAAAAAGAAAAGAAAGGCAAACAAGCAAGTAGGATGCAGGGTACAGGAGAAGGGGGCTGGAGGGGGGGCACCTGCCCTCAGGTGGGGGCGGTCACCACTCACACCCCAGCCGGGGCTCCTCTCCTCGCAGATTAACCACAGCACCCCCATTCTTACCTGCTTCACAGCTGGATTCCTCCAAAGGATTTCTTTTGAGGTAAAAAATATTTTTGCCTCTAAAACATCAAAACCTTGCAGCTTTAAATCTGTTTGCTCTAGGGAGCTCCATGAACACACAGGAGCAAGGGTCCCCGCTGGGGGAATTCAGTGGGATTCCCAGCAGGGCTAACCTTGGTATTTGTCTCATTCCGTCCTTAAAGCAAGGCTCCAAGAGCACCCCGCCCACCTCCTGAACCGCCACAAGGATGGGGAAAGTCAGGTGCGGAGCAGGGCCACAGCCTCTATGAGACCAGGCAGCAGGTGGAGGGGTGGAGTCTCCCGGCTGTGCCGCACGGATTCCTGCTGCCCTGGCCAGCACTTGCCTCTCCTTCCAGAAACCTCTTCCATCACCAAGACTCAGTCAAGAGTAAACACTAACCTCTGCCCCGCAGCCACTGGGCCTGACCTCCCACAACCAGTTCCCCCATCAGAGGCCTCGCAAAAAAGACGTCTAATGGCCCAAAGTCTAGGTCCCTCACTGAGCCTGCCCTGGGGACTCCACACAGGACCTCAGCAAGTATTAAGAAAGTAAACAATGAAAGCAAGTTTTTCAACAGAATGTAGTTCACAGTAGGAAAATACTGCAAACAGCCCAAGAGGCAGCCAACAGCAGACTGGCTACGTCGGTTCGAGTGCTTCTGTGTAACTCGGTACCATGCAGCAGTTAAAAACAACAAGGTAGAATCTGAGCTAAAACAGAAAGATGCACCTGATATATTAAACAAACAAAAATGTTAGCAACGAAATGTATGATGTCACTTCGCAAAATAAGTTTCCAAGAATGTGAAGGGTTCTATACATACAGATAAAAATCTCAAACGTTTCACTGGCAGTATACTCACGGTACTTTATCAATGTGCAGCAAGACTGAAGAAATCATTTTTTTAATTTCTGTATTGTTTGATTCTTTTATTGTTTGTTACAAGGTGCATATAAATTTCACAATTTAAAATTAGTAAACGGACAGGAATCATAGGAATCCAGCTGTGAATGACCAACCTGAGCAAGAGTGAGATCCTGTCTCTACTAAAAATAGAAAGAAATTAATTGGCCAACTAAAAATATACAGAAAAAATTAGGCGGGCATGGTGGCACATGCTGTAGTCCCAGCTACTTGGGAGGCTGAGGCAGCAAGATTGCTTGAGCCCAGGAGTTTGAGGTTGCTGTGAGCTAGGCTGACACCACTTACTCTAGCCCAAAGTGACAGAGTAAGACTCTGCCTAAAAAAAAAAAAAAAAAAAAAGTAAAAGCAAGCCCTTCCTTTCCTTTTTCTGAACTATGTAACATCAAGCCATCAGGAGAGGCAGAGCAAGACAGGAGACTGCACATGGGGAGTGGCCCCAGAGTGGTATCAAGGCCAGCACTGGGCAGGGAGGGTCCTGCAGGGGCGAGGCCTGGGAGAGAGGGGCATGCTGAGGGCGCCCTCACAGGTGGGTGGGGGGGTGGCCTGTGGAGGTGGGCACACACGGGTGGACTGATCAAGTAAATAAGTGAGAATCACAGTAATCGGGCTTCTGGCTGCTATTGTTAAAGGGAGTTACAAAAATAGGGTGAAAACCAGAATGAACTTGTGGTCTTGGATTAGAATGGAAAGTGTCCATGTGAACTCATAGTTTTCCATCTATGTATCTCATATAGAAATGTGGCTATAAGAGTGTGTGGTGGGAGGGTCTGGGAGCAGTGAGGACCCAAGACCTAAAAGCAGACCCGGCACTCTGACCTTGCTTCCGAATACTATTCTCCATTAAAAGGAGTGAGGACTCGTTGGAGAAAAGGCCTACTACCAGGGAAATTAAAAAATGAGCACGGAACAGCTTATTGTGCCAAAGAGCAAGAAAGTGCTCAAAGAATGAAGCGACATGTCAAAAAGATGGGGCGGGGGGAAGACGGGGAAGCAAGCTTAAAGGGGCTCCCACCACCCATAATGGGTTACAGCCCATTGAGTAAAAGAGGAAACCAGGAGTCCAAGTAGAGAGAGAGAGATAGATCGATCGATCGAAGTCGGGCAGGCAAAAGGAAACGAGCAACCCTACAGTGGAAGCCTGAAGACACCACCTTAGCCAAGTGATTAAGTAACACCATCAGTAATGGGTCACATCAAACCAAGTCCCAATCAGCAGGACGCAATGAGAAGAACACAGTATCAGTACTTTGATATGCCTATCAAAGTATGTACACTGAATCCAACCACTAGGATCAGACGAATCCAAGTTGAGAGGCATCCTACAAAATAACTGGCCTATAATCTTCAAAAGCATCAGGTCATGACGGTCAAGGAAAGCCAGAGGAACTGTCCCCGACCAAAGGAGACCAAAGAGACACGACAATCAAATGCACGGCTTTATTTGGGCCCCTTTCCTATAAAAACTGCTTGAGACTGGCAAAGCTTGGCGGTGTCTGCTGATTGATGGCCGCCATGTGTCATCATTAATTTCCTGATGTCGATGTTTGTATTTCTGTTGTATAAGAGAACATCCTTGTTTGTAAGAAATATACACATTAGCATATGGGGCACCAGGTTGGCAATTTACTCTTTTTTTTTTTTTTTCAGACATTGTCTCGCTTTGTTGCCCAGGCTAGAGTGAGTGCCGTGGCATCAGCCTAGCTCACAGCAACCTCAAACTCCTGGGCTCAAGCGATCCTCCTACCTCAGCCTCCCTAGTAGTTGGGACTACAGGCATGCGCCACTATGCCTGGCTAATTTTTTGTATATATATTTTTAGTTGGTCAATTAATTTCTTTCTATTTTTAGTAGAGACAGGGTCTCGCTCTTGCTCAGGCTGGTTTCAAACTCCTGCCCTCGAGCGATCCGCCCGTCTCGGCCTCCCAGAGTGCTAGGATTACAGGCGTGAGCCACTGCACCCGGCACCCGGCCGGCAATTTACTCTTGAATGACACACTGTAAGTTTGTAAGTTTCACGATTAAAATTTTTAAAAACTATAAATGAAAAGAAAGTAATAAAATAACGTTATGCTAAATTAACAGGCCAGTTCAGACTGTTACACAATAGCTTGTTTTGAGCAAGCCTCAATAGTCCTGCTTTCGCTCAGGGACCATAAATGATTTCTGATGGGGATACAGTTCTCTGCCAAGCTAGCCCTCCGCTGCAGTGCTGGGAGGATGCTCTGTCTCCCCTTGGGGACGTCTTCCAACCCCAAATACCCAACCATCTATGACACGGAGCGTGTCATCTGCCCTTTCCGTATCCCCGGGCAGCCTGCACAGCTCCAGACTGTAAGCTACAAGAGGGGAGGGACTTGCCCACTCACAGCAAGCCCGAGCGCTGACTGGCCTGCTACTCTTGCCTTCGTCAACACCAACCAAGAGCTGAACAAACCAACTAATGTGGAATACGAGAGCTGCAAAAGCAAGAGGCCACACTCCCACCAAAAAAACCCGAGAATTGCTCCATCTCATATTTGCACAGGGCTTTAGTATTTACAAGCTTCGTTCCATCTGTGATCTCATGTGATCCACACAAAGGAAATAAGCTACCAGCCTCAGACTGAGCCAAATCCCTCTGCTACGCACCATGCAGCACACCGCAGGGTGCCCCCTCTTCGGTAGCCCCTGCGATGGTCACAGTGATCCACTACACGTGATGCTTTGATTAACCTTTGTGCCCGCGTTGGACTGCAGCTTCCAGGAGAGCCAGGGCCGAGTTTCCATTCACAGACACCCCAGAAATACTTGCTAACTGATCAAGGGTGGGTGGGTGGCACCCCTTGGTCTGCCCCCCGCCGCCCGGCCCTACCTGCTGCTGCTGGGCCCGGAGGTCGCCGATCTCCTTCTGGTCCTCCTCGTGGAGCCGCTTCATGTCCTCCCAGGACTGCTGCAGCAGGTTACGCTCCCGCAGCAGCTGTCCGTTCTCCCGCCTCAGCATGTCCACGTCGTCCTTCAGCTGCGTCTGGGCGCTCAGCAGCCGGCTGTGGAGTGTGCTGAGACACCCCCCCTCGCGGTGAGCCCAGCAGGCCCCTCACCCCCCACCTCAAAGCATCACCAGCCCCTCCCGGTCCCAGCACTCCTAATAAATACACCGGCGGGAGCCAATGGCAGCCAAAGTCTGCTAACAGCCAAATTCCAGGAACACCCAAACTGCTTTTTACAAACGTGACACCAAAATGGGCACATGCATCTGCGAGGAAAGGAGATCAGCCCCTCCCTGGCACAGACGTGGCACATCCAGGTACTGGGGCCTGAGAAACGTCAGCAGCTGGGCAGGTGAACACCCCCAGAGGGGCGCCTGGAGACCCAAGGAAAGCAGCCCCATCGGCCTATCCCTCGGGGACAAGCTGCAGTGAAGCCCCTGGACAGAGGCCCAGCGATCGCCCGACCCCCTGCCTCACGTGCTAAATCACTTTCCTGCCTGCTAGGCTGGTCATGAGATGGCATGAAGGGTTAATAGCTTCATTTTACACTCAGGAAAACTGAGGCCCAAAGGCACAAAGCCACCTGCTGAAGGCAGACTGCTGGCTAAGAGGCAGGGCAGGACCAGAACCAGAACCCGGCTCAAGTCGTAGGGAAGGAGGACAAGGGCGGCCATCCGTGGGAGTGGGGGGTCTGGCCGAGCGGGTGGCACTCACTGGTAGAAGTCGGTCTCCTTGGCCACCTCCTCGCACCTCTTCAGGGCGTTGGTGTGCTGGTTCTGCAGGCTCTGCAGGTCCGACATGGCCCGCACGCACTGGATCTTCAGCCGCTCGTAGTCGGGATTGAGCCTGTGGTAGGGCCTGACCCAGACAGCAAACAGCCCGTGAACACAGGCCCCAGGATTCACGATGACACCATGTCCTGGATCATCCCAACCCAGTGGTTCCCAAATACTGGTCTCCCGTGCTTGTCACACTCGGATGTCCTGGCCTCCCCACACCCACGGAACCAGAGCCCCCAGGACGGAGGGAGCCTTGGCTGCCCGAGCCCCCCGGCATGGGGAGCTCAGAGAGTGCCGCCTTGATCCCTAGGAGCTTCAGGTCCATGCGACAGGTCTGGGCCACCAGACACCCGTGATGATGTCTCCTCTCTTTACAACAGCGATTCTCAATCTTGGGCACACATTAAAATACCAATGCCCAGACCAATTACATCAGCATCTCTGGGGATGTGACCGAGACATCAGGCTTTTTTAAAACACCCCAGAGGATTCCAGTGTGCAATCAAGCTGAAAACACCCGCCACTAGCAGTGGTTCTCAAAGTGGGCCTCATGGCTCTGCGGCACGGTCAGAAATGCAGATGCTCAGGTCTAGCCCCGGATCTCCTGAGTCAGATGTGCTGAAGAGGGAGAAGGACAGCTAGCAACCTGTGCCTGGACAAGCTCTCTGGGTGATTCTGGTGCACGCTCAAGTTGGAGAACCCGTTCCATAGAGCAGAAGTCAGCAAACTTCCTTTGTGAAGGGCCAGATAGTGAACACTTGAGGCTCTGCAGGCCGTACAGTCTCTGCTGCAACCACTCGACTCTGGCCTCGTACATGAAAGCAGCCAGAGACAGTAGGCAGACCAATCAGCACAGCTGTGTTACGATAAGATTCTATTTACAAAACAGGCAGCGGGCCACAGTGTGGTGACTCTCCTGTGCTAGCACATCCACGTCTTCACCCGTCCTGCCTTTGTGCCGTGTGACTGAGGGGACAACCTCAGACAAACAACCTCGGGGACCGGGCTTTGCAGCCCTGACATCAGCCCTGAGTCACAGACCCTCAACGCTCCTAAAGGCAGGAGGTGAGATCAAAGTGTTTAAGCCAATCCCCCACCCCTCAAGACACCCACCAGCACGGGAGCTAAAATATAAACTGCTCTGTGTCCCTCCTCCTTCTCCAGGAAGTCCTCTTGGACTACGCAAGTAGATAAAGACTTCCTCTGCCCCGCCCCACGGGCTGCCCTTCCCTGGTATCTACTGCTAAATCCTAACAAAGCAGCAAAGATTTTCTTCAAAACAACAAAGACACCAGGAAGAACGTGCCCTTTCTAAAACACACACGTGGCAGGGGAAAATGTAATGCATTTGTGATGCATTTACAAAGCACATAAAGCTTAACTCGACTGAGGCAGGACGGGGTCTTGTGGGCGACACTGATGGACACACAGAACCGCCACGGGCTCCGCGGTGGGATGCCTGTCCCCGTGGGGCAGGGGCTCCACACGGCAGCAGACAGGGGATGAAGAGGGAGGCACGCTGTCCCTGGGCTGCAAGGCGGAGGCCTGGAGAGAGGCAGGGGCAAGCCCGAGGCCACCTGGCCATCCAGGGAGGAGGCACCAAAGCAGGACCAGGCACCCCCAGCTGCCATCGAGACCACCCACAAGCACCCGCCAGGCAAGAAGCAAGGGCTGGGGGGCTGGGCCCAGGCTCTTCTGCCACAAACACACACCAGCGCCCACCTGGCACACAGGCACACCACTGTCGAAGGCCTCCCCATATGTACGATGGGGACACACCCCCAGCCCCCAATTTTGGTTTGGAGGAGGCGAGACAAACCTGTGCCCACTCCCCTAGCCTGCAGGTACTGCCTCTGGGGCGCACCTCTGGATGTCACATGAGGGCAAGGGGGCACTCCGGAGGTGTAGCCGGGACCCCTGGGAGCTAAAGGTAAGTGGCGGGGGGGGAGGGAGCGCTGGCATCAGGAGGGTGACCCCGGCCCACGGGGCCCAGGCAGGGGAGCTGGGTGCTGGGTGCGATGACTACCTTTTGTCAAAGGCCGTCCCATGTGTTGCGAAAGCCAGGCGCTTGCGCAGCTCGTTCCTCTCTCGCGTCATCAGCCGCAGCTGGAGGGAGAGGCTCTCCACCTTCTCGTTCACCTGCTGGTCCGTGAGGAGGGGTGGCGGGGACGGCGCCTTCCCGGGGGTGCCTGCGGAAGGGGAATGACACAGTGAACTTGCACTCAGACGGCACTCGAGAGTGCCAGGCGCTGTTCTGAACTCTGCCTCATGTTAGCTACTGGTGACAACCACACGAGGTGGGCCCTGTTAGCATCCCTCTTTCACAGACGAGAACACTGAGCAAGAGAGAGTGAGAGGGGACACTGAGACCCAAGCCCAGGCCATGTGGCGCCAGCACGAAACGACCCCACGGACCCAGCACTGACTAAGGACCTGGGGGATGCACACTCTCTCTCCACCCTGCCTTTGACACCTCCAGGATGCAGCTATTCTGACCCTCACCCTTGCATCCTTTCCTGGTCTGGAAATGCCAGCTGTCACCCATCCCATGGACATGGCACGTGGGGCAGGACAGGCTGACTGAGCCCTGAGCAGAGTGTTAGACACAGCCTGGGGAGGAAGGCACACCTGGAACCCAGTGAAGCTCCTAAGGATCAGGGCAGCTGGCCTACGGGCCATATCCTCATCCTCCCCCACCCAGGGCTGGACACTCTGCACCTTCTGCAAGGCGTACAACCACCTGATGGACCTGCCCGACCAGCCCAGGTGCTCAGGTCTGGAGGAGGTTGCTAGCTCACAGGTGAGTAAGTGTGATGTGATGCAAGTCAGTCTTGAGCCCTCTGGGCTGCCTAGCCCTCAACAGGCCCTCATCACCTGTCCTAGGACAAAAGTGCCCTAAAGGGAGCCCCATGTCTTATGCTGTTAGCAAACAATAGCAGCCACCACCACCACCACCACCACCACCACCACCACCATCCCGACAAGATCCAAATCCATTTCTGGGAAGAAAGCAATCCAGCCATCTGGGGAGAAAGTACCTCACCCAAATTTCCCAAAAAGAGAGACTAACCCATGGAGTTTTTACACTTAACCCTATCAGTACGGCCACCTGCTACCTCACCTAAGCCTGAGAAATCCCCGGTGGGGTGAGAAGAGCTCTCAGTGGCCATGCACTTTGCAGACGTGATCCGGGCAGCTGACTCACCCCGGGGACAACACAGGTGTCTTCCCAGGAGACCAAGATGTGCAAAGGGCATGATGGCTCTTCTGGCCCTCTATGCCATCCTGACCTCCCCACCCCCTCCTCGCTGATCCTTGTCTGCTAACTGCTCACGCAAACCAAGTGTCCCCAAAACAAAAGCTGTGGGCTTGGGCCTCTGGGGAGGCCAGGGAGGAAAGGGAGTGTGACACTGTGCATGACAAGCCAGACCACAGGAGGCGGCGGGGGCCTCGAGCTATCAGCTCAGCCTTCCTCAGCCTCTTTAGAAGGCGGTACCCCACCAGCTAAATCTAGCACCCCCTGCAATGTGCGCTACCCTCGTACGCCCCACGGCGGGCGACGTTCTGGTCAACGACTGACTGAATATATGACAGCAGTCCTATAAGATCATAATGGAGCTAAAAAGTTCCTGTCACCTAGTAAAGTCTGGATGGTCCTGACCCCACAAAAGCCTAGACTAAGGTGTGTGTGCCTGAGTTTTCAACAAAAAAAGTTTTAAAAGTACAAAAAAAAATTTTTTTGAATACGAAAAGTCTTAAAGAATAAGGATATAAAGAAATAAAATATTTTCGTATAGCTGTACAATGTGTTTTAAGCTAAGTATTGCGAGAGCCAAAAAGGTTTTAAAAATTTATGAGTTTATAAAGTTAAAAAGTTACAGTAAGTTAAGGTTAATTTATTATTGAAGAAAGAAAAATATTTCTTATAAACTTAGTGTGGCCTACGTGTACAATATTTATAAAGTCTACAGCAGTGTTCAACAATGTCCCAGACCCAGACCTTCACATTCACCCACCACTCACTCACTGACCCACCCAAAGCAACATCCAGTCCTGCAAGCTCCAGTCATGGTAAGTACCCTAATACGGGTGTACTCTTTTCTATCTTCTATACCGTATTTTTACTGTATCTGTTCTATGCTTACAGGATGTTTAAATACATAAATATTTACCATTCTGTTACAACTGCATTACTGTGTATTCATATTAGTAACATGCTGGACAGGTTTGTAGGCTAAGGAGCAAGAGGCTATACCGGGGTGGGGAGCCTACAGCCTTAAGGCCACATGTGGCCTTCTAGGTCCTTAAGTGTGGTCTTTTGACTGAATCCAAATTTTACAGAACAAATCCTTTTATATTTATTAATATATTTTTGTCCGTCTTTTGTATTTTTATTTTTAAAATCAATGTATTTAAAATACCAAAGAATAAGTTTCAACAAAATAACCCTTCCAGATTGACTACCACAATTACAAGCCATTAAGGGCTAAACTGACAGTTGCTACGCTCGTGATTTAGTTCTTACTCCCCCCGCCTGACTGGCGCCACTCCTGCAGGAGGCTGGTTGGTGAGAGTTTATGGGGGTAGCACTCTGGTCTGTTATCAGCCTTTGACAACAGTGCACCGTGTTTCTGTCTGAAGCAGATTTTGCACTCAGTTGCACAGCTCGACAGTATTTTTTAATTCCGTCTGCTTAACAGCCCATGATGTCAAAGAAGACCAAGAGAACGCTGAAGGAAGAAAACAGACTTTTTAAGGAGGATTGAGAATTGCAGTATTATCTTGTTTCTGCTAAAGATAAGATGATTTGCTTGCTCTGTGATACTGCAATATCAACATTAAAGAAATTCAATGCTCATCAGTAATACAACACTCATGAGCACCACAAATATTTTAAATTAAGAGGGAGAAGTGCAAAAGGTTGCACTGCAGAAATGAAAAGATGAAAAGCAAAAGCAAATTCAATTCTTTCAAGCAGCAATAAGACCTGAAAATACTGCCCCTGAAGCAACTCATAAAGCAGCTTATATACTCAGGAAAAAAAAGGGAAGCCATTCAGTGATGTAGAAATTGTGAAAAAATGCACTGTCAAAGTTATAGGATATTTAGACCCTTAAAGTGTTTCAAAGTACAGACAACTGCCTCTTTCAAGGGGCAGTTGATCGGCAGCATGAGTTAGCCTTCAACTTAACAGAACAACTTCATGCAATAATTCGAAAGGAAAATATATATTATTCAATCACTTCAGATGAATAAACTGATACTACTGACTCAGCACAGGTTTTATACTTCATTCAGGTCGTAATAGAATACTTGAGTTACTTGGTTTGGGCACTCCCGCAAACAGAACACAGGGAATAGGTATCTTCAACAACTTTCAATATAAATGTCCTGAAGTTGGACTGGATTTGGTAAATTTAATGTGTATACACTTACCTTATGTGACAGGAAAACCTGACGGGTTTATTGCACACATTAAAAAATTATTAACAGATCCAGATGCTCTCATTTCTTTTCACTGTATCTTGCATCAGCAAAATCTCTGTGCTAAAGCTACTATTTTAAGTGATACTTTGCAACAACCTACAAGTATTGTTAAATATTCATATATTCGTGCAAATGCAACAGGGCATCCTCAGTTTTGTAGCGTGCTAAAATTGAACAACGAGTTCAACTATTTAGTGTGGATTTGCCATATCATTCTAAAGTGTGCTGGCTATCAGAGGGACAGGTGTTAGGCAAAATTTTATTTCTGTGAGAACAGATAGTTAAATTTTATGAAGAACAGAATCAGCAATGTGAATTATTGCAAGAAGACTTCTACAGGAATGTAGCACTTCTGGGTGACATCGTGCCAGATCAAAATGACTTGAATATTTCTTTGCAAGGTAAATCTAAGTCTACATACGATATGTGGCAAAATAAGCCAAGCATTTCGAAAAAAATCTATCTTTTTTCAAAACACTTCTTCTTCAAAAGGAAACTCTGGATGAACATTTTCCCCAGTTAGCAAAGGTCACTGATGAGCAGGATGATACATGCAAATCATTTGAAGAATACAAAGCTGTTACAGACCTATTAATTGGAGAGTACAATGAACATTCACTGACTTTGAGAATCATGACATCACACTCAAATTAGTGTTTCAGCCTCACCTACTTGGTATCACCAAGGCACCTGAAGAACTACAGATGGAATCGATTGAGCGCTCAGTAAATGACATTTTAAAGTTTAGTTTGATGCTAAGAAAGATCCCACAGAAATATGGAAAAATGCAGTGGAATACCCACACCTTTTGCTACATGACTGGAAAATGCTTTCTTGTTTTTCAACTACTTATTGCTGTGAATCTACATTCTCCTACCTAACCTCAATCAAGGCACCTTTAAGGTTACAAATGACTGCTACCCATCTAGAGGTAACTGAAACTGCAGACCTCCATGCTACAACCAAACATTCAAATGCTTTCCAACAAAAAGCAGACACAGCAAAGTCATTAAAAGGTTAGTTAACTTTAAGATTAAATAGCTTTCATTTTTTTTTTTGAAATTATTAAGTACATAGTAGTTGGATTTTTACAGAATAATGGATATTTTTAAGTATATCTAATTGAAGTTTCTTGAATGTGGCCTTATTTGATAACAGCTAAATTAACATGGTCTTTCAACATGAAAAGGTTCCCCACCCCTGTGCTATAGCATACAGCCTAGGTTCATAATAAGGCTCTACCATCCAGGTTGGTGTAAATACAATCTAGGATGTTCACACATTGAGGAAGTCACTAACGATGCATTCATTTCTCAGAACTTATCCCCACTGTTAAGCAACACGGGCCTGTATTTTAAAGCCACAACCATCATGGCAACCAGGATACCTATGCTCCAGACCAGAACTTTGGGTCAGAATATTTCCTGGAGGTGGGGCCAGGGATCAGCATTCCCCAGGAGCATCTCCTCTTCCCAATGTGGTCTACCCTACAGCTTCAGAAGCCTTCCCTCATCTTTCCCCAGAAGACCCTGGAGCCTCACTCCTGCGCCCAGCAGTTTTGGAAGGCAGGCTGGTTACAGCTCTGAGCCATCTGATGGGCAGCAACTCACCCGACTCTCTGACAAGTGCAGCTTCCTTCGGTTGTGCCTGCCGCCCTTCTAGACACGCCTACTACTCACCCTCCAACCAAGGAGATCGTCTG